GCTTACTAAGATGGTGGATCCGTCCATGGCGAAGTTGAGAGAAACCGAACGACTGCTAGGTTTTCAAGAGGCAGTAATAACCTTGAAGATATTTTTCACTTTTAGCGATTTAGGTTAGAAGAAGCTTTGTATATATATTTAAGAACAAACGATTGGGCCTCGACTAAGCCAACTTACTCCTAAGCTTCCGACGAGCCCGAACCGTTTGCGGTGGGAGAAGAAAAGAGTYAGTAATCATAGCGCACCCGGCACCACAAAAATAAAAAACATATTTGATGTTTTAATTAATCTTATTCTATAACTASGTAAGCCCACATATATACAGATTTATGATAAAATATTTCATAATCTATGAAATAATCAAATTCAAAAATATATGAACAACAGAAAACCCTGCAGGAACCTATATACAAACAATACAAATAGAGATACATACAAGCACATATATATAACAAACAACTTGCATAGCATTAACAGCAAGACAGCTCAGTACGGACCTTAGCAGTATGATCATCAGAACCAGTGATTAGGTACGGTTTGTCCCCACCASTAAAGTAGTCTACACAGTTTACCCCTTTCAGATGTGCATCCAAAGTAAAATTTGGATCCGGAGAATCAAGATTCCATATCTAGATAAGAAAATATGTGAAACAGGAGAAAAGGTTTAGCTTCTCATATTTGGAATGAACAAAAACCATGCATCTTACAAGTCCAAGGCTAATCTTACTTTGATGGTACGGTCAAGGGATGCACTAGCAAAAGTATTGGTGTCTTTCGGATTGAAAGTCACTTGCATAACATAATGGGAATGCCCTTCGAAAATCTGAGTGCAAAGCCAACCCTTCTCCCAATCCCAGAGCTTAATGAGCATATCATCAGATGATGATAACACATAGGGAAGGGTGGGATAAACAGCAACACACCTAATGTAATCAGCATGAGACTCAAATACTTTGATCTTATCCATTGTGTTGTAGTTGTAGACACGAATAAACATGTCATCAGCTCCAGCTACAACCCACTGCTTGCGTGCAACAAACTTAGCTGACCGAACTGCACAACAATGACATAGACTCAACATATCAGGAACACAGAAAGCTGTGTGAGAGCATAAGAAGGAATATGAATAACGAAATGATGTAGATCATACCCGGCAATTCAATCACTTCGAAAGATTTTACCAAAGTCTGCAAAGTCATAAAGAGATTTTGGGTAAAAAATAATCGAGAAGGAGCACAGCATTAAGAACTAGGAAGAATAAAAGGCATCAAGTAAGATAAAGGCAACAGATGATCCTAACATGGGATGCTTAATTCTCATACCTGTGTCTGATAATTCCAGATGCACACAGTTCCGGAATACAAACTTGCCAGTATCCTGTACCAATTTATTGATTAATTTTTCCTTAACCATAAAAACTAAGAATGATGTAAACAAGATACAATGCAAATGGAGAATGGCTCAAGTTACCATGGCTCTGTTGGATGGAGATCTACAAATTTGACTCTTTCTGATCTTTGAGCAAATTTGCGCTGATCCAAACATACAAAGGTGTCACTCCGAAAAATCCAATGCCGAGTAAAAACGATAAGACTAAAAGAGGTCCAAATCGACCATCAAGTAAACGAAGGAGACAGATTACCTTGATTTCGAGTCTGAGAGGCTGTCAACAATTCAAACAAAAGCAAGCAAAAACTCAAGTTAGCGCAGAAGAGAAAACAAAATAGCTCCGATAATTTTACTTGCTCAGTCGAGAAACCAAAGCACTGCATCGAGTTCATTTCAAACTTCTAGCAACCTAAGAATATGTAGCAGAAAAACTCATTGATCCAACCTCAGTTTTCAGTATACGCATTTAGAGATCTCGATAAACGTTCGATCCGCAACAAAGAGACCTCCGGCGATCGATTTAGGGAATGAGTGAAAGACGATCACAAATTCTAATACGATGAAGCACGCACTATCATCGGAATGATATTCCAAGTAAAAATTCAAACAGATTGAGAGGTGGATCTACGGGAGAATCGAGAGATCATAAGACTAACCATCTTTGCAAGTCGAAACGAATGTCGCTACCGGAGATCGGCTTATCGTCGGAGTTCCCCCTGATCGCAGCGAAGAAGAAGAGAGTAATGCAGAGAGAGATTAACGAGAACGGAAGTGATGGAGAGGCGTTGGTGGTGATTCTACTACTCCCAGTGCGCGTTGGCTAAGTGATCGATTTGGATCCGAATCTGGGTGTACTCTACTCGCTCCCTTAATGCGACGTCGTTTTACATCCACGCGTATGCGATGTTACACTTGGAGAGACTTTTTTTCTAGTTGTTGCAAAATAAACACTACAGGTTCACAATTGGACTATAAAAGGTCAAGTAAATTGGACTTAAGGATTCAATTGGTTGTATAAGACGTAACACTATAAGAGCGTGGTGATTGCACACTGATCACAACACCACAAGAAATCAATAACTGCAGAAAGGCAAAGTAGAAAAATCAGAACCTATTCGTCGAGTCTAATGGTTCTTCATACAATATAACAAATTGAAAAATGCAACAGAAACGTATTCCAAATGTCTTTAATTTTTCAAGTCACTAAAATTCCAGGCAGAGTTTGTGCATAAGTGGCAACTCCTTTCACCAAATGGCTCAACTTCTTCGCCCATTCTAATCCCCCGATTGACTTCCATCTCTGTCTGTACATCACAATTGTTAAAGAGTTTAGTTGGATTTAGGCTCTATGAGTCAGCCCTGATAGATAACCCAACCCACGAGAATCTTCATCACTTGTCCAGGCACCAATCATCAAACCCCTACATATACAGCCATTTGAATTTCATGTCATGTTAAGCGTAAACAAAGTCATGAGAATGCAGAGAGCAAGATACTAAAGGTAAACTATCTTGTGCTTTCAAGTTCCTCTAGTCGTAAAAGGCATATTTACGGGAAGAAGGAATGATTATCTTACTTGAATGGAATCGATCCATAGGAATCTCTCGCTGTTCGCGTTTAATGCACAAGTACTCAGCTAGCAATGCCATTACAGCAAGTCCAGTTCCATTTACAACCCACCATGCCATAGACGAAGGCCATCCTCCATACATGATGCAGAAGAAGAGATGTATGATATAGAGAGTTGCAGAGAAATCTAAGCATTTCCGTGCTCGTTCCACCAAAAATATCATGTACACAGCCCTGCGATAAATTCATCATAGAATAGCAAGCAATCTTCAGGGTTCTGAAAAAGTAATAACAGCAAATGATTTTGGGAGTAAATTTCAGGAATTTGGTTCTAACCCTGCCAGTGAACTGAACAAGAATGAGGCAATAACACACCAACCGGTGAGTGTTGAAGTAGTGAGAGTAGCGTAATCGAAGAAGTAGACAAGACTGAGGCGAGGAACCCGAAGGCCAAGAAAGACCATCATGAAGACTCCTAGAGTGAGATAGTATGAGCACTGGAGGCAAATAATCTGCCCAACAATCAGCCAAGGGTCCCATACAGCTGTGCCATAGAACATGGCTGCAGCAAAAACAAAAACAAAGTGTCGCAGATCAAATACACCAATCCCATGGGAATCAATATTGGGATCTCTAGATTGTTTGGTAACCGGAAATCAAGCATCCTCAAAATGCTGCAAAGTAATCAATATGCAACCAATTCTTATTTCAAAAATGTCAATATAATGAATGTTGCATTTCATTGTACAGTCTTTTGGGTTTGAATAGTATAATTTTACATTCAATTCCC